GGAGGGGGCGGCCGAGGGGGACGCGGAGGGGGACGAGGAGGCGGAGGGGGAGGCGGAGGCGCGGCGGCGGCGGCGGAGGGGCGTGGTCGTGGCATTTTCGGACGCCCGAAAGGACGGGGCGCCGTTTGGGGTGCAGTGAGCGGCGACGGCTGCCGCCGGGCTGCGCGCTCGGCGGCCGACCCAGGTCGTCGTCGCAGGCTGCGGCTGCGGGGTCGGCGCTCTCAAGGCAGCATTGTCCCCCGCCCTACGGGAGCTGTTAGCATGTGAGAGCGTTTCCGCGCACGTGTGGACGCACATTCAACGATGTATCAGTATGGATCCCAAACTGGATCCCCAGGTTCGTGTGGGATGTGCATTCGAGGGTGCAGACGCGCCCTCCAGGCCAATCGGCTTGTCACTACTATTCTTTGGATAAGCCTCTCTCGTACAGCCCCAGCTTCGTGGGCTGTATGGCTCTTCCTGACCCATCGACCTGATGGTCCCTTGGACCGATTCTTCTTGCACGCTGAAAAGCTTATTGGTTTGGGCTGTGCGTGCTAGCTTCGTAACTAGTGTTTTTGGAAGTCAAACGGTCTACCGCTCTGCAGGGGCCCAGCACCATGCCTCCAGACCTCCCGATTGTCCTTGTGGGAACTGGCTGTCCTGGTGCTCTGTAACTGTGATTATGCCATCGTATCGGCATTTTCGTTTGAACGCAGCTCTGTCTGCTGATCCGGCCGGGCTTGCTCTGCCCTGATGCGTACGGCTGCACGCTACAGCACCGCGCCGCTTTTGGGCCTTGCAATTCGAGCAGCTCAGGATCATGCCATGTTTGCTACCAGTGAAGCAGCACTGGTAGCAGACGTAAGCAAATTCCTCTCTTCTTATGCCGCTTGGGCTGGTCTTGCTGCAGGCATGGTCATAGTGCGCGCGCGTGGGTGAGCGCTGGGGTATCCGCTGTGACGGCGGCGGCATTGACGTCGGCATATCACGGTCCGCCGTTGACTAACGGTTGCAGAAGCTCGGCACGGCTTATCTGCGATTATCGGCAGCACGCAACGAGCTCATCAACACAGCCACGTGCTCCTCAAAGACGTTGGCTCGGATCTGGAAGTGACATTCTCCAACAGGGCTCCCGGCATGGCGCGGTGGAGGCGCAGTGACCAATAAAACAAGGAACAACCCGGGATTGCGCCTCCCGGGGACCACTTGGGCCGGACAAAGTGCGCAACGCGGAGGCAGGGAGGCCGGCAATGTCCTCACGGCGCGAGTACAGAGTCTGGGAGCCGAATGAGGAGCAGGTTGGTGTACTCCCTGTCTATAGACCGGGGACCCTCGCCGCAGGCCACCCCCATCCCCGCTTCCGCGTGTCATGTCGTATTGGGCGCCCAGCCGAAGCCCCACAAGGGTTTCGCCGGACGCCGCCTCCTTTCGCCCTCAGGCCCTCCGTGACGGCGTCAGGAAGCATGGTCTGGGGGCTTGGGAGAAGATAAGGACGGATCCCGAGTTTGGCATGCTCAGGTGCTGGGCGCACGGCCGCCGCGGACTGCGCGTGAACAGGGGCGCGCTCGCGCCCGCCCAGCCGGGCCGGGAGGCCTCTCACCAGCTTTCAACGTCAGCGGCCGCCAGCCGAGCATGCAGCCGCCGGCCGAGCATGCAGCCGCATGCGCGTGCCCCTCGCGCCCATGCGGGCGCCGGCGCGTGCTGCATGCGAGCTGCAAACCCCGGGCATGCCACGACCTTCCTCCCCCTCCGCATGTCATACCCCTCATCCCCGCTCCGCATGGCACGCCACCTCTCCTGTGCACCACCCCTCTCAGCACGCGATCTGGCGTGCAGCTCAAGGATAAGTGGCGCAACCTCGTGAAATTCAGGCACCTGTCGCAGGAAGACGCGCAGGCGCTGCAGCCCAAAACCTCCGGCCCGTGGTACCGCCGCCACCTGGCGGCCGCGACGGCCAGCGGCAGCGACGGGTGGGTGCATGCGTGCGCGCGAGTGCGTGCGCGCGTCTGCACCGCGACCCTGGCGTGCGTTGCTTTCATTGGTGGTGAACGAGAGCTGATGCTTTGGGGGTGGTGGACGTCGACTGAATGCAAATGGTATGCATTTGGAAGGTGTGAATTGCCTTCCTAAGGCGGCTGGTGCAGCAGGTCGCATCTCCCCCTGCACGAGCACATCTGCCCGGGCAGCGCGGCGGCCAGAGGGCACCGGGCGGCGCGACACACCACCCACGACACACTACAAACTCCACGGGACGCAGGGAGGGCCCGCCCCCACGCCCGCGGGGTACGCCCCCCGGCCGCCAGCCGCACGCGGCGCTGCCGGCCGGCGGCGGCCCAGACGGCGCGGCGAGTGCTGATCAGGTGCGCACGCGCCCGCTGCTTGCCGCGCCGTCGTGGGACGACTGCGGGGGCAGACCCTTTTAAATGCAGCTAGGCATGGGCCACGGTTACTGAGTGCCTTCAGATATGATGTGCAGAAAGGAACGAGCTGCATGGCGGCTTGCCGCTAGTGGGTCGCCGTCCCCCGCCCCAGAAATCCCCCCTCACCCAACCGCTGCGGCCCCGCCGCCGTGCCCCCGAGCCCCCGTCCTCGCATACCCATCACTCTGCTGGTTGATCCGCATCCAATCGAACCCGACCCAAACGCTGAATAATATCTCAATCACGCACGCCTGTCGCGCCCGCCCTCATTGCAGGACCACGAGCCGGAAGGCGAGCGGGCGCCGCTGGTGAGTCAACACGCACCACCCACCCCAAGCATCAACCGCACATGCACGACCCGTTCCCATCGCCCTTGGAAAGCACACGTTTTGCACGACCTGGCAGGCGCGAGCGGAACCCGCGACCCGGGCTCGGTTGGCCTCCGCCCGCCCTGGAACAAGCCGCGCCACCCTCTCCGTCCCCTTGTGATTCGTCAGCGCAAGTCGTCCCGCCGGGGGCGGCGCCGCACATACCGAGATCTGGCTGACCTCAGCGGCTCCGAGGACGGCCACGACCCAGCCAACGACGACGCTGACGAGGACGGCGCCGCGGCCGCTGACGAGGACGGCGGCGCCGGCGGCGGCGGCGGGGGCGTATTGGGGGGCGGCGTCTCGGCGGGCGGCGATGGGGACGGCGGCGACGGGGGCGGGGCGTCGAGCGGGAGCGATGGCGAAGAGGGCGCGCCGGCGCGGCGGAAGCGGCGGCGGGCGAGCGACGGGGCACGGGAGGACCGGCGTTTTGGTGCGCTGCGGCAGGGCGCGACGCCTGCTGATTTCAGGGGGAGGGCCTGCGGAAGTTTTTGGCCCGGGTGTGCCACTTGGGTGCAGAGGGCCAGCGCTGCGGCAGTGGGCGTGTGCGGCAAGCAGTAGCCTCGTGGGCGAGTGCCTCGGGCCGCCTGCTGCTGCTTGGCGGGACCGGAGGGTCTGGTGTGAATTTCACGGCGGGGTCGAATCACGTTTGTGGCTGACTGCACGCCCCGCGCTGCTCCCAGGGAT